CACACACACACACACACACACACACACACACACACACACACACACACACACACACACACACACACACACAGACACACACACACACACAGCTGCTATAGGCCCCAGCTGTTCTAGGCCTTTTATTGCAGGGCACTCAAAAGTTTCCAAACTTGTAATTTTAAATTTCTTCTTTCCATATGTGAACCTATAAATAATTGCCTACGCAGCTGTGTAAAGTGCAGACATGATGTTGTAATATTGTCTCAATTGCCGTTTTAATTTCTTATTGGTTCTGTTGGTTGTGCTCGCCTACTCCAGTGGCACAGTAATCCTCCTCCACGGTAATCCCTCTGTTTGTACAGCCCCAGTTGGCCGGACAGTCGTGTCTCCTTTGCACAAACACACACACACACACACACACACAAATCACACATTCGCAGCTGGAATGGAGACGACTGTTGGCGAAGAAGTGAGGAGCACTAACAGGTGGTGTTGGCTAAGGTTCAAGGACTTGTATTTTTTTTAAGACCTACTCCTCTAGTGTCCACATGGCTCGAATGAGACTCTACATCATCATTACAGTCTGATTACAGGCTTCTGGGATTTCATACCATCAGTCAAAACATCATAACGAGACAAACAAATGTTTGGAGTTTTGATGACAAAAGGGAGGTTTCACTCATCCACACTCAGCTATGAAAGCATAGGAAATAAGAGGAGCTCTTTTTTTTTTTWAARGATGGCTTGCTCTTTTTCCAAGCCTCACTCCAGTCTTTGACTGGCACAGCAGGTGGCCTCAAAAGCATGAATGGATTCGGAAGGAAGTTCCTCTTCTCGCCCCCCGCCTCCCTTCAACCCGTCCCCCACCACTCACAGTGATTGGCAGAAATGGCAGGCCGCCCTGACGATAAGACCAGGCAGCGCTGCACACTGTGCTGTGCCTCAGTGATGGATTTTATAGCGAGTCTGTAAATGTAGCTTCTGTTAGCCGTGACCCGTGTTTAAAAAAATTAAATTAAAAAAAAAACCTCAAAGCTCCGTTTCAGTTGCTCACGTGGACTTTTTGCAGTGATTGATGATGTCTTTGAGGGTATTTTTAGGAAAACCCAGTTAGGGCTTAAAGACGTACAATCAAAACATGTCGTCTGAGATCATCCTGCCCGTGTTACTTAATTTTCTTATTCTTTTCCACAGCATTAGGTACAGGAAATGTGTTTTAGCCACCTGCCAGCTGAATAACACTTCCTTTCCTTAAAATATATGTTTTATTTGCATATATAGTGGTTTAATGAGATCTGATCAGTCTTRGGTCGGTTTAGTGAAAGTCGTTCTCTTTTAATGCCCACTGAAAACATCCCACTTTAGACTGGGAGAGCACAAGAACACAGGTGTAAAAGCAAATTTTGTCTTTGTTTCTGCGTTTGTTGTGCAGCAGTGTTTCATATGAACTTCATGAAATTCTTGTTTATTGTTCCTCATTTACAGAGCAAATGATTATTAATGTGAAATTGGTTCTCACGACTGGAAATACTCTGGGAGTGGAGGGATGTCTGGAACAGACAAGCTAAGAAAAAAATCCCACTTAGTGAGAAATGTTTTATTTCGCTTTTTATAAGTACAGACAAAACAAATCGGCTGTGATTCAGGATTCACAACTGCTTATTTGTTATCCAGTATTTATAACTTTAGTTACTAAGATATTTTCAGGTTTTATTACAGCAGCTGAATCACATTTACTCATGTTACCTCCTAGCCCTAGCTTTCAAGTGTTCCTTTGGTCCTATAAGTCCTGGAGGGGTGGTGAATCAAAAATCCCACTACAAAGTGGGACACTCCTAATAAATCTTTAATGGTGCCCAAATAATTTTATGTAAGAAAACAGACCATAGAGTTGGTCTTTAATGTAAACCCTATTRTACTGTAGACATGGACATATAACTGTATTTCCTTTGTATTGCTTGTTGAGAAAAATTGACAATATTGTAAGTTATAGTACATTAAAATACATCATGCTGCTCATGGTACTGATTGTTGGTTAAGGGTGTAAGAAAATATCGATACACTGAAATATCGCGMTATTTCATTTCCTGACATTGTATCGATATTCTAAAGCCCTGTATCGATTTTTAATTAAGGTTTAAAATGTCAACTTTCCTGCCAGCCGTTCATTTTTATGTTGTAGTTCAGCCTCTGACCACTAGTTGGCAGCAGTGAGCCAGCCATTTGGCTCCTCTACCTCTTGAGCGCCAAAGAGTAAGGGTAGCATTAGCATTGTGAGTAAACATTAGCTTCATGCTCTGATAGCTGAATCTGAGCGGAAAAGACCGACACCCTCTGCCTTCTAGGCTGAGGAAAGGTTATCAGCAGTTATTTATTTATCAGAATGTCAGTATTTTAAACCACATTAAGTGTTTTGTGCGCTCTTTTTTCCAACTTTAGTTAGCCTTCGCGTTACAGAAGGCTAGCGCATGTCTATGTAATAGAATTTTCTGAGACAATAAATTTTCTTGTTTTTTTTTTCGGTAAGAGGTTTTTATTTAATAGAATTTTTGGACAAAAAAATAGAAATAAATCGCAATATATCACTTTGCTTACAGTATCGCAATATATCGGGATGTATCGTATCGTGACCCATCTGTCATGATATTGTATGTATAGTATCGCCAAATTCTTGCCAATACATAGCCTTATTGATGGTATACGTATTTTAACTTGTAGGTTCAAATTAAGAGTTTGTTTTGCACAACTCATACTCATTTGTTGTGTGCTTACAAAATCTCATTTTTAAGTGGCAGATATACTGTTATCATTTTATTTAAAAAGAATTGGGACACAAAAACCACTTGGGATTAATGTGCAAAACATAAAGTTATGGTCTCTGAAGGGAAGTTAAAAGGGACATTTAAGTACAGTTGTTCCCAGAATTTCTCTAGAAATTCCCCAGATTTATTTATTTTATTTCCCCAGAGTATTTTGGAGCGATGGCTCAAAATAGAGGACTTTTATTGAACGTTGATGCATCCCAGCTACAGAAAAGCTTTCCGTCCGTGGTGTTGCACTATTGTTCCTCAGTCCTGTGGGAAGCAACAGCCCGTCTCTCTTTAATCTGACACGGCCTCACTGGCTGTCTGGCACACAGCTTCGTGTGTCACGTGTCATTAGATGGGGTCTGGCTCCAGCATTTATTTCACCAAAATAACAGTCTCTTGTGTATTCTTGTTTTGTCTGTGAGCACATTAGACCTGAAGATTCAGATCAGGTTCTAAAATGTTATCTTCTAATGTTTTAAATCAGAATCTAGAATGTGGAGATTATTCAAGATGATTTTGGGAAAAATGCTTTCAAGTTGTCCGTAAAGAAATACTATGTGATTGCTTTTTGGCATGAGATTCCTTCCTCAGTTTCTGATTTTTCCCCTCAGGTGTCCTGTTGGGATTGACAACGAAACATGACCGTTAAACCAGTTTTCACGCTCTGCGATGTGTGCACTTGTCCAGGCTTGTCGTCGGCTCGTTATTCTCTCAGCAGTGAATCATCTCTGTACAAAATGGTGTAATGTAAATAATTCCCAAGCATTAAAGAAAGTTGGGGGAAGACATGCTGTTGACTTCAGAAAGCAGTGGTTACGAGTCTTAGTGTTTGTTTGATTTGTTTATTACAGCATTGCTCAACTACTGCCCTAGTTATTTTTTTCCTTATTCAAAAGCAAGTATCAACAATGGGCTTGGTGCACATTTTCTCTGACACTTTCCAAAAATTGTCCTCAAAATTGCCTGAAGTGTGAATAGACATTAAGCCAATCTGAGCAATTTGCCAAGATTTTTGTCATTCCATTTGGTGTTGGCTTCATTTAAAATCAGCAGCACCACCCATTAATTAAATGCACAATTGAGTCATTTGGTGGTGGTGACAGAAAGCTCAGTAGTATTTGAAGCCCAGCCTGTTCTCACAGAACAGAGGTTTTAAACCACTGCTTATTCTTTCACTTTTCTACAATCTTTGTTTCATTAGTGTTAGTCAGACAAATAATATAAGTTTATAGTATTAATAATGCAGTTAAGAAAACCTTGGCATCACTGAGGAAACTTATAGTTTGGATTTAAGATTGTGTTCGAAAAAATGAATCACAAAAATAAGAATAAACAAAATGTAATTGATACATTTACAGCATATGGATCATAGGTCTTTGTTGAATAGTTGATAATCACACTTCATTTTATTGTTTTTATTGTTATCCACTGGTCTTTTGATGCGCTGCTTCCTTTCCTCGTTTTTGTCATTTATCATATTTAATCTTGATTTTTTTTCCCCTCATCTCTGCTGTTTCTATTTCCTTAGTGTTTGTTTTCCATTAATGCAGACTTTCCATTGGGAGGGAAAAGTCAATACTTTATCTCTCACAAATGGATCCATAAATTGGTTTTTAAATAMTTTTTGTTTGGTTGTAGTGCTGCTTTTCACAAACTGTGGTCTTTTGTCAGACACATTTCTTTTAAAAATTTCTTTCCCCTTAAAAAAGATAATGTTGGCTCCACTATGGCAGAATAAAATTATCTTCTCGTGATATTTTTTATGTTGTTTTGTGTTTCTACCCAGATCTTGGAGTTGCCAAGATCTGGGTGCCTCAGTCCCAAAAAACTATGCACTTTTGCAGTTTTAGTAGCTGTGTTTTTGTAAATGTGTTAATAAGATACTTCATTTGCCTTCATCCAATAAATATTGTCTAAATTTTAGCCAGCTTTGTTTGCATCTCTAATTTACTGCAGGCAGAGGAAGCCCAAAGTGTTTAGTAGAGAACAAGACAAGATTACTGCCAAATCACCCACTGGTGAATCCTCAGATTTTCACAATAAAGCATCACTGAGCAGCCTTTAATTTGTTGTCCTTGAACACAGTGATTCTTTATTCAACATGGACTTGGAAGGATTCAAATTACAGGATTCACATGGTTAATTATATTGTTTTATGGGGGAAAAAATGTTTACCAAAAATTGAGACAACCTGTTGTTACTTCAGCTTCCAATCTGTGGTCAGACATTTCTAATTATTGTTAACATTCYAAATTAACTCACCAACACATTACTCTGCATGTGTGTTTAGCTTTAGATTAAACAAATACAGGTATTTTTAAGTTTGAAAACAATATAACTTATAGATGACAGATTCAAATTCTTCACAATAACAGTTTCCAACAACCTAGAGTTAGTCATAAATAAAATAATAAAATCAGTAAAAGTTTTACTGGTAATTTTGTTTTTCAGTCCTTTTATTTACTCTATGCAGGCACTGATGTGTTTTGAAATATATTTTCTTCTAGTTCACACCTTAATGATTCCGTTACAAATTAAAAGAACCATTGTTACTCACCAAGAACCATTTATTCGTAACAATGGCAGGATATGAGTCAGTGACAGCAGCACCCTCTCARCGTTTATCTCTCTTTCGCATTTGCAAGCGTAGAGCACCCAGAAGTGATTTGACATAGAGGCCAAAGGTGACTATGAAGTTAGCAGCTTGTGACGACACACGCTCTTGAGCTACATGTACTTATCTGTTAGCGGATAGTCCTTGTCTGGACTGACGTGGAAATTGTCTGCCGTCTGATCGCTGACTGGTATTTACTCTTCTAGTGAGTGTTTACTGTTTGCATCCACTTCGTGTGGACTGTTCATCTGTTTAGTGGTCTTTCTCTCAAAGCTTGAGGTAATTGTTTTCTTATTTAGTTTTTTAGGGAGTAATTTGCCCTAAACCCTTGAAACTTGAGTTCACACACAGATAACATGCTCAAATGTTCAATGTGTCAATAATAAATAGTAAACCCCTATCCCTACAGGGCGTTTATGGTGCTTTTTCAGATATGTGTCATGGGAGATGTGATCACAGGGTGTCAGTTTCTGGCTTTGACTGGATGCTCAAACACACAATTCACATTTTAGCTTTCAATCTTTCTTTTTTCCCTGATTTTGAGCTGAGGTCTTTTGAAATGCTTTAGGATAGTCTCAGCAATGTCATGATATTCTTTCTTTATGTGATGTTGAGTTGCATTTCAGTGAATAAAAAAGTGCACTATTGTCAGTTTTATGCATATTCAACACWAAGCAAACTGTATTTATACAACATCTCTCACAGATCAGAATCACAAAGTGCTTCACAGGGAGCTGTATTAAAAGCAAACCAACATAGGTGTAAAAGCACACAATACAAGTTATTGTGATTAATAAGACACTAAGTAATAACTAAAAGCTTGTCTTAAGCTGCTCCTTAAAGAAGTCAACAGAGTCAGCCTCACAGAGACACAGCGGCTGGGCGTTCCACAGGTCCCCTTGGGTTTAAACCAGGTTTTAAGAAGAGATTTGGTCCTGAAGATCAAATATTATATCCAGAAGAGTAAGGAGTCAACATTTCTATAGTATTTTGGGAGGCCTGTCCATTAAGAGCTCTAAAAGTAAAGACTGAACTTTTAAAATCAATTCTGATTTTGACAGGTGGTCAATGTAAAGAACTGGTTTGATGGTTTGATGGTTCGATTCATGGTTTGCAATGAAAATTGCCTTATATGACAATTATTTGATTGATTCTCAGATACCTGAAAGAGATGTTTGTTTGAATAATTAGGGGGTCTGTTTTTAAATAATTTATTTGATTTGAATTGGTTTCAGAAATATTGATCCGTTATATTTATGTCTTTGGATTTACCATTCTTATTAATAACTTAGCAGTTACATAGATTAGCTGGTTTGCCAAATATGCCACGATAAGCTACAATTATAAATATCAAAAATAAATATTGAGTACATAGAAAAGTGTCAGTATTCCTAAAGCTTAAAAAATAGCAGACAATTTGCCTGTGTTTTGGTTCTGTCTTTGTTAGCAAACATTAAACACCAATAATCATTGGATGTACATCAACAACAGATTAGCTTTTGGATAACAGGACTCAAAGGCATGTTATGGTTTTCCCCTATAATTAGTTTATTCTTTCTCCCCACAGGCTTGACGATGGGTTGTGTCAAGAGTAAAGAGGACAAGGGTCCAGCCCTGAAGTACCGACCTGACAACTCGAATGCCACGCAGGTCAATGCTCACCTGGGCCACTATGGACCTGAGCCTACCCTGATGGGTAATTCGCCTTCCACGAAGGCACAGAACAACAGCTACAACAGCAACGCCGCTGCCCTCACACCTTTTGGTGGAACATCTTCAGTCATGGCACCATTCGGAGGAGCCTCAACATCCTTCTCTTCAGTGGCTGTGAGCACCCCCTTCCCCAATGTGATCCCAGGTCAGTTTGTGGATTTTAAGGGTCTGTCTTAAATCAAGCCAGCTTCATGTTTGATTGCTAATGCTAGAATATATATATGTATATTTTTAATGAGGATCTAAAACAGCAAAAGGAAAAAACATGCTTATTTTAAAAGCTTCGTTGTTTTTTAATTAAACGCCAAATAAACTAATTATTAAATCATTTTGAATGCAGCTGATTGATTTGCAAACTCCAAAGAGGAGATGATCCAGCAGACATTTTCTCAGCCATGTTCAAACTTTCCATTTTGTTGTCATTATGTTTGAAACATCTTCAGAATACACTCTGCTGAACCTTTGTTATTCTCAAGATGTTACAAGCAGCAGATGTTATGCAAATTACACATTTAAAATGCCTAAGCCAAAACATCAAGGCTGCACTGAAAACCAAAATAGGCCTAAAATATGGGAAGCAATGCAGCTGGCATGGCCTCTTGTGAGCCAAAAAAAACCACTACATGCACAGAATTAATTTGCTTCTGTCATGCACATTATATTTTTTATTATTACCAACAGTAGCTTGAGTTGGGCATGTGTCTGAATTAAAATGACCCTTGGGGACATCAGGATCATTATTGATTCAAGGGGTTAATTATTCAGCAAAGACGCTGAACAAAGAGTGACCTCTGYGCATACACACCCTTGTTCAGGTCCTGCCTTGGAGATATAGCATTCTTGCTCTTATGACTTTACCATTTTACATAAATGCTTACCCTTCCCTTTAACCTAAACCTAAACCTGACTTTTTATCTTAAACCAATCAAACAAGTATTTAAGCTGATAGGGTCCAGCATCTTAGTCCCCACCAAGCTGTTGGACCTCATAAGTGTAGTGGTTTTCCTCTATGACCCCTCAGTCCATTTGTTGTGCTCCAGCAGTGTTAAATTGGCCTGAAGGGCTGCTGTAGATCTAATTTTGCTTAATTAGTTTTCCCCCACAACATGGACATCTCAAGAGTCCTGTTGTCTTTTTTTGTTTTGTCAGCTGTCAGTTCTTTTCATTATTAATAAAAAAAAGATTAAATGACATCAATGCGATTCTCTGATCTAAATTGCTATGATAACCATAGGATTTTAGAACTGTGGAAAATAATCTGCTTCCCTGAAGGGTTTAATAAAAAAAATCACAGTTGAGAGGCCTGGTTGTATTTTTAGACTAGGATCATAGGCCTCCAGGTTTAGGGTTATTGCACAAAAAAAAAAGCAAATGTGTATTCTTAGCAAAAAAACACATTTTTATTTAAAAATATAACTAAATACTGAGGATTATTTCTCTAACTTGATGGGTAAAGCTGTTTTCCTTTGTACACCATTCCAGAGGAACTGTGTGACATAATTTATTACTTTTAGTTTTGACACTGTTTTGCCCTCCTGATTCTCGGTTCTTTGTTGTTTTTAGGTGGGGTGACATTTTTTGTCGCTCTGTACGACTACGAAGCAAGGACATCAGACGATCTGTCATTCAGGAAAGGGGATCGCTTTCAGATTATCAACAACACGTGAGTACATACATGTGCTTTTACACCAAAAAACCCTGCTGCTTTGGTGTGTGCGTTCCTGATTTTATTCATGTGTGTGCATGTTCTCACGCCCTCGTACCGTGTGTTTAATCCATGGTTGGATTCAGGTCTCATATTAAGGCTGGGATCTGACTGGGTTAATGGCTTTCTTTAATGGGCCATCTGCTAAGATGCCATCATTTCTCACTCAGCGCAGACCTTTCCTGTAGTTCAGGGTGTCAGATTTGGGATTTTGTGTTAAACATAATGCATTAAACCTAAATAATACATGTATTATATTTAGAAATGTATGAAACGTGTTTAATACTGGGTCATTTTATTTATTTATTCTTCTTTTTTCAGCTTAGTATCCTCAAAAATAATACAAATATTTATCATATTAATTAAGACTAACCCAATGGAAAAATCTGAGTCACAATACTTCCATAATGTTTTTATTAACCCTACGTTATTGGAAAAGATCAATTATATAGGCTCAACACATTCATCTGTTCTGGTCCTGCACTGTATTTTTCCCCACGTGTGCAGGGCTGAGACACTTGGCAGAGCTCCAAGAGCTGAACAAATCCTGCTCTCCTCATTCATCATATGCCACATCCCATCCCACCGCTGTCTACGCTCACATGGCTTTTATAGTGATGAAAATGCCATCTGCTTTCAGGGGAGAAGTGGAGAAAGACAGATTAGATRAAAAGTTTTCCAAAATGCCACCAGACACATTTTCTCTGCATCTCGGTCCCTCTTCTCTTAATTTAAGCTCGAACATCTGCTGTTTAACTCTCTCAATTACCAGTGGGAACTACAACTCCGTCATTTTATTACAATATTGTTGGTAAATCTTTGGATATTGATATTTATAATTAATGCAGCAAATTAAATATGTGAGTGCAGTTTGTATGTAGCAGCAATTAAATCAAAGGACATTTCCCATCTTTTATTTAATAGGAAGTCTTTTGGTAAAGATGGTCTTCAATGACCTTATTCAGTAACAGTAAAAAAAATAGTCAAGTTTAATGCAAACTTTAAAAAAGTGTGTGTGCGTGTCTTCAGGAATCTTGAGTAAAAGTGTAAAATAACTCTAACATTGTAGGTAAATTTCTGAAGTAATTTAGATATTAGCATATTGCTAATAAAACTCACCTTCAGGTTTTAGTCCAAATGTTAAAGAGAAACATTACAAACATTTTATTAACATATAAACATTGCATGGATGTCTACCCCGGTACTATCTATTTTGCCCAAATAATTTGTATTGCCAGAAGGCACCCTGGCTCATTTGGTAGACCTGTTGCAAGAAGGTTGCCAGATTGAATCCCAGCTCAGGGGGACCTTTCTGGGTGGAGTTAGCTTGTTCTCTCTCTGCATATGTGGGTTTTCTCTAAGTACTCCGATTTCTTCCCACAGACCAAAAACATGACTGGTAAGCTAATTGGTAACTCTAAATTATTGTCCCTTGGTGTGAGTGAGGAGTGAATGGTTGTTTTGTTTGTCTCTATGTGAGACCCTGTGATGGACTGGAGACCTGTCCAGGGTGTACCCCACCCCTCGTACAGATTCTGCTGGATATGGACACCAGTGACCCTGAAGGAATAAACTGATTAAGATAATGGATGGTTGGTTGGTTGGTTGGTTTGTATTGGCATCAGCAATTTCCAAGAACTGTTCAGTCATCATTCAGGGTGAAACCAGAAATTTCTGCAGAAATTGTTTATTGAGACAGAAAAAAAAATTGTATAGGTCTTCTGGACGGGTTCTTCTCTAATGAAACATTTCGTCTCTCCTCCAAGAGACTTCTTCAGTCTGAGAGTTTCAGGCAAAATTCAGGCTTTTAAGCACTGCCTCCATGTGACTGATACTCACATCACATGGCTATCGTTGACACCTAATTAACACCTATTGTTAACAGGGGGTGGAGTGATGCTGGCTATAGCAGCGCTGTAGGAGGGGGACAACTGAAAAYGGAGGCCTCCACCTCTGTTTAATGATGGACGGTCTTTCTTCACAAAAATGGCGGCTTTTACTCCTCTCTCAAACCAACGTTCCTCTCTATCAAGAATGAGAACATCCTCATCTCTGAAAGAGTGACCACTGGCCTGTAAATGAGTGAAAACTGCAGAGTTCTGGCCATTAGAWKTAGCTCGTCTGTGTTGGGACATTCTTTTGAACAGTGATTGCTTTGTTTCCCCGATGTATAACTGGTCGCAGTCCTCCTGGCACTTAACAGCATATACAACATTGCTCTGTTTGTGCCGGGGCACCGGATCTTTGGGGTGAACCAGCCTTTGCCGTAATGTGTTTTGGGGTTTGAAAGCCWCTGGGACATCATGTTTAGAAAATAAACGTCTCAGTTTCTCCGAAACACCYGCAACATACGGAATAACCACTGGTTTGGGTCTGGGTTTGGGGTCTTCATTTTCACCTGAAGGTTGCATGGAATCCTGTCTGTGTTTCCTGTYTGCTTTCAGGAACGCCCAGTCAGGATAACCACACTGCTCCAGGGCCTGTCGTGTGTGTCGTGTTTATTGAGACATTTATTTACGTTTAAACTGTGCATAGCTGTTTTTTTGTTTGTTTGTTTGTTTGTTTTTTTCTCTCGTAAATGGACAGCTTTAAGTACAATTGTGCACGCTTGGCATTAAATCTGTAGTGGTTAGACCTCAGTTACTTGCTCTACATTGTAAATAATATCCATCTCCTAGCTATATTGTATTTTGACCTTTTACACTGTTCAGTCTCATGAGTTGGATTTTGCAGACTTATTTCACCTTCAGATGTTTAATTACCTAACAGATGCTATGTAAGCGAAGCAAGGAAGCTTAAAATAATTAGTTGGTGAGTTAAAGATGAATAAGTCAAGGCCAAACTCTGCCTCCATAATGATGATTTGATTCTGATGCAGCTGGATGATGTGTGAAATGACCTTGTTCATTTTTGTCTTTAAATGCTTTGCCGTCTTTCCATGAGAGTAGGTGGATTTTTTTCTTGTGCCTTTTTAGAAAAAGCTTCTCATCTTTAATATGGTTCTCTCCTTAGGGAAGGTGACTGGTGGGAGGCCCGTTCCATCAACACTGGAGAAAAAGGTTACATCCCCAGTAACTACGTAGCACCGGCCGACTCCATACAAGCTGAGGAGTAAGAATTCAAACCTTCTGTTTGTCACACTTTCTGCCAAACTCACTTTTTTATCCCTGCCTGGTTTCAAGTCCCACTCATTAGTATCTCTTAAAGTGAAAATTGATTGCTGGTGGGTAGAGAGTGGAGGGAACCGTTGGCGCTCTTATTGTTGTTCATCCGGTTTCACAAAAACATAAAGGGTCTATGATTTTACCAACACATACTAAATTCTCTTTGGGTCTCTTATTTTTTTATTTTTTACATTTGTACCAATGCTAGACACTCATCTAAAAACAAAATGTTTGAGGAAAAAAGTGCAATAACAAAACAAAAAATAAATAAATACAAATATCCAATTAAAATTTTGTTTTGCATCTTAAAAAGATAATTGACTGGTTGCAGGATTGCCTGGCGCGACAATTCAGCTCTTTCTCAACAAGACTCAACCTGTAGGAGATTCTTGAAATAGACAATGTGTTCTTTTACAATAATAAGAGTAGGCTTGTTTACAGCTTAGAGCTCCTTACTTATTTATAGAAAACATTTTTAGTGTATTTAAATAGGTAATGGAATAAGAGGTGCCTTGAGCAGAAGTGCCTTTTGAACACAACACAAAAAGTTGCACAAAGTAATTCAGTCACATGACTCTTAATTTCCCTGATAATAAAAATGATATGGATGTCAACCATTTCAGTGTGTAAGGGTTTATTCTTACACTTCTTTTAACAAGGTTATAAGAGTAATTTAATTAGCAAGGATCTCTTATTTTGGCTAAGCATTTCTTTAGTGCAAAAATGAATGGACACAAAAAGTAACTCTCAGTCATTGAATGTTGATTTGAACCATAATATGCAATCGTTTATTTTACAAATCATACAAAATTAACTAGAGTACACCTGATTGTGAACGATTAATTTCCTATAAAAGTTTTGGGACCAACAATAACAAGCTTTTATCTTCTTAATTGTTAACCACACTTAAATAGAAACACAAAYGYCAGCTTAGATGTTAAATACCAGACATTTGAGGCTGTTTATCTTAGGGTTGTTAAGGGCAAGGTTAAGAAAAAGGTTGAAGAAAGGTGTTAGCTTTTCTATACTTTATCTTAAATAATGTGGGTTTAACCAGAAGGGCGAAGCGTTCTGTGCTCAGCTTTGGTCAGACCTGGACGTCACATACAGCCAGCTTTTACCTTGAGATGATGTTCTGTCACCTGCCAGGTAGGTGGGGGCGCTGCTGGAGAATCTGTCTTTAGACCGTCGAACAGGGAACCCCAAGGCGTGCTCTTTGACTCGTTTAGCGTCCACGTCAGCAGTAACCAGAAGACAAGGCCTCGACTGTAACCCAGGTTTTGAATAAAACTTCCGTCTGGAGAGTTTCTGAAGGTGGATAAACCAGGCATTGGTTTTCCACACTGTGAGGTTTCCCTGTTAGCTGTCACAGTGACTGACGGCGGTCAGTCACCCTTTTCTCACTAGTGGACGGGCGGAAACTCTTAGTTCCTAAAAGCTTAGAGAATCTATGGTCCGCCTTCCAGAAGGTTAGATTAGAAAAAGAAATTATCAAGGAAAGTGTTAGTTTCAGAGCTCGCTGTGCCTCCTGAAACTAAAACAAAGATTATTGCTGCTGCTGTGTGGTTCAGAACAAAACATTTCATGACCTGTTTAAATTATCTGATGATCACTTATTTAAAACATAACTGAAAGAAAAATGAATTGCTTCAAGTTCAAAACATTTGCAAATATGATTCAGACAAGTAAAACATTGATATTTCATCAACTTAAACCATAAAGATTATTTTAGTTAAATAAGAATTTTTCTCACAGAAAAACCATACATAGCTGAAATCATACTGAGGGGTAAAAGAGATCTGTCCTCTCTTCTCCTGTAACTTTGATAAACATTCTCTGATTATCAAAATGTGTAATATTTTCAGTTAAGAGACTGCTAAATCAAATAAGAGAAGATTCTTCTGTTTTTATCTGATTTAGAAGGAAAGTGGCCTGGGATGGCCTAAATACAGTTCTAAGTAGAACAGAGTTTTTGTCCATTCGAAGGCCCATCAGAGGACTGAGAGTCCAAGATAGTTCCTTGATAATTTGACTCGAGGTGACCCCTACAAGTGTCACATCAGGAACACATTTCTCTTGTATTAATTAGCTCTTTGTTTATTTACTCGCCTTTTTTTCTCTTTCTGTAGATGGTACTTTGGTAAAATGGGCCGCAAAGATGCAGAACGTCTCTTATTGCTTCCAGGGAATCAACGGGGCACTTATTTGGTACGAGAGAGTGAGACAACAAAAGGTGAGAAAACAAGAGAAGATGACTGATATTTAGTTTTTTATGTGATTGCTTCAGTTCTGATTTTTATCCTTTTTTTTTGAGGAATTAAATGGTTGTTTTAGTTGGCCAAAAGCAACTGCACGAATATTCATATAAATCATTTTTTTAGGTTTCCTTGTGCATTTCTGTTTTTGTTGTTGGCAGAAGGTTTAGTTTGGATTAAAAGATAGTTGCTAAGACACAAGGAATGATAGTTTCACTTTGGTGGTGCATGACTTTCGTCCTCTCAGGGAGAGAGAAAAGAAACAAAACAAAAACATTTTTCACCTATTGCAGTTTCACTTTATATAGACCCCAACCGAATGATTGAAATATGGGGAAAAAAAGAATTAAAAGCATGATATGTCTACTTTTTAAAGAGCTGCTTTTATCAAAAAAAATTTCAACCAGATTTCTTTTTGAATTTCAAAAGGTGCTTACTCTCTGTCTTTACGTGACTGGGATGATGTGAAGGGAGACAACGTCAAACACTACAAGATCCGCAAGCTGGATAGCGGTGGATATTACATAACCACACGAGCCCAGTTTGAGACACTACAGAAACTGGTGAAACATTACACAGGTATGCAGCCCACTCACTTCTTATCAACCTGCAGGTACAGCTCAACTTACAACTTGAACAAACCCTTTAGCTCAGGGCAAATTGTTTAAATTTTTTTAGTCAGTCGCATGCACTATGATTCCTAGCTGTGTTATTTAAACATATGAGTCATTCAGGATGGTATTCTTTTTCTTATGTGGGCTTTAGAATAATAAGTAGTTTTTGCTTCCTTGTCTTCCTTTTATACAAGATCATTGTTAAAAAGCTGCTTTTCTAGTTCTGGGGAGTCGAACTCATTTGTGACCCATCAGATCGAAATGACGATTAAGTCAAATTTGGGTCAAAATGACCTAATTACATTTTCAGATTCTTGGCTTTAAAAGCTAAATTTTGAAACCTGGATCATTCTGATATCATAAGTAAATCCATATATATATGACTTAATTTGTCTTGTTGGTTACAATAATACATACATATTTGGTCCGAATCCTAATTTTGTCATTTTAATGAGGAATATTTGATGTCCTTTAAAGGAGGAAACCTCAAATTATATTTGAATATTGATTTCCCAGCTGAAAAGAAACAAAACTTTACTAGCTCACAGGGAAAATCTCAAACTTTTGTGGATGTTTTTCCTCTATCAGGTTTTTTTGTTGCTACTGCTCAAAAAAGTGCTTCAAATTTTTTTTTTTTATGATTATATTTCAGACAGTTCATTAAAATGAGAAACTGATACGGCATTTATTCATTATATTTTGACAAAATGCAATTTTTGTTAACATTTTAGACAAAACACTATTTGCCTATTTGTACCACTTTTAGACTTAATCCTCGTTTCRATGTGATGGGTCACATTTCCACAGAGGGCCACTTAATCATTAATATTGTCCTCAAAAGGTCATTTGTAATTAAATTCAGCGTTTCGTTTGCTAAGACTAAGCATTGCCAAGAAACAATAACGGAGCTCTACATAGTATTTCCTGCATAGAAACAGTGTTTTAACACGTTCTCGTAAACGACTGGCTAAATGTAAAATAAATAATACAAAAACACAATTAAAAGTAAGAGTTTTACTCACTGTTACGTTGCAGTGATTAGCGTCCATTTTCAATTCTAAACTCTCCCACATTGAGAGGGGTTTGTGGGTAAAATAATTGACTTGCATTATGAAGATGTGTTTTATGGTCACTGCTGGCTTTATAGCAGCATAAGCTTATTTTACATACATCTTTGAAGCTCTCAGTGTGCTGTAGTGGGCCGCTTTTAGCCTGTGGACCTTGATTTTGGCACGTTGTGTTTCATGGTTTTACATGTAAAGAATTATGTTTTTTAATAATCCAGGGGTGTTCAGCAGATTTTAAAATTAAATGAGTACACTCTCAGAAAAATAAGTGACATATTGTACTGTATTTATATTGCAAAATTGAAGCTACAATATAGGTAATGTATGGAAAATGTAAATACATTTTTACTTCTTCTGTAATTAGAAGGTATGATTAACTTTGTTTAATTAGCACAGACTTTAATCAATTGAATTATCAGAGAAACATTTGGAATGGTTGCTAATCTTTCAGGTGGTGGACGTCTCAGCATGTAAGCCACAAATCAAAGTAACGTCAAAACAAAAAACTACAGCTTGGGCTAGTCATACTTCAATAGTCATGTTTGATGTACATTTTTTGGCCACTATTGTTTGAAAAAGACTGAACAAGTGGGACTTTTTAGGTAGACGGTGCAAAGCTTTTGCAGTGATGAATCGTGAAAGCTTCACTCAAGTTTGCACTGAACAAATGGCATTTTGTCTCCTTTTTTTTCTTTAATGTTTTGTGTTGCTTTTGCCCAGAACACGCGGATGGRCTGTGCTACAGGCTGATCACTGTGTGTCCGACAGTGAAGCCTCAAACTCAGGGACTAGCTAAAGACGCCTGGGAGATCCCACGAGAGTCCCTGAGGCTGGAAGTCAAACTGGGGCAGGGCTGCTTCGGGGAAGTCTGGATGGGTAAGAAACCGTTTGCGCTGCACTCAAACGCTCTTTACTCTTTGCACCTAAATGAATCTGAAAAGACCACTTAAAAAGATTAGAAGAAAGTCTTGCTACCTGGAAACAAAAGTGTGTAACAACAAGGGGTAACTCAAGTCTTTTGCAGAGGACTGTAGCTCTTTATATAACCCATGAATTTAGTTTCAAAAGCAACAAAAGTTCTCTTGATTCTGTTTGAACGCCTACACAAAGACTTTTTTTTCTTTAAATAGTCTTTGAGCAAAACTTCAAAAGCCTTTTTGTTTCTGCTCTGGTATAACTTTATTTGGTCAAACTGGTGAATCTTTGAAAAACTGAGTTTCCTCCTGATCTGTGCTGAAAGATGCATTCAGTAAAACTTTATCTCCATTTATTTAGCATCTTTGTTCCCTTTCTTTTCAACAACACGTATGCTAAAACCTGCATTCTAGTGCACATATTTCACACTAAATATGTTGATAAATAAATACGACAAATCATTTTGTTGGTGTATACTTGCTCAGCCCTTAGAGCTTACATGCAGAGATAAAGCATCAGTTGTACATGATGAACTGATGTGAACACTGCATCCGTTTATATTGTAGATGTAGCCTCTTTTTGTATATTTGTATTAATGCTAAGTGAAGTTAGAAGCCCAGTCTTGCTGCCACACTGGCCCACATACTGATGGAAAGGCTGATTGCTGTTGCTTCTATCTCACGCGCATAGAGCTCAGCAATCACAGGTCACTTCCAACGCTTCGTCCCCCGCCCCTACATGTGAGACAGCGGGCCTCTGAGTGAACACCACGCTCTTCTTTTATCGCTCAGTCGCTCGTTAAGGCTGGCCTGCAGCAAGCCTTGACCTGCAAGCCTCCGCTGTGTAATCCCAGGAATCCCTCTCCGCCGCCTCTCACTGCACTGCGTTCAGGATGATTTCCTGCTCTGCTCTGATTTTATTTATTTATTTTATTTTTTAACTACAGATCCTTTCTGCTCACGTGTCTTGGGACGTTTAGTTCTTAGATGTGCGTTTCATTGTTTTGGCTTGAGCGTCTTCTTAATTCAACGCACCGTGCTCATTATTAGATGCTGTCATTGTCCTACTTTGGCCTTCAGCTTGTGTATGCGCATGCAGAGTTTGTTCAGTGTGATTCATTCATGAAGGTCAGCCTTTTGACGGCAGCAGCAAATCTCCTGCCTCGGCTCATTGTATGTAAGCAGGGCGTGATTAAGTGGCTTCCAACCAGGAAGTGCCTGAATATTTAAGCTGTTGTATTCTTTTTTTCTCTCTCTGTGCTGCACTGTACTTATGAGAGCACTGACACATATCAGCAACATGATGGTTGATAATAGAGTTGGGTGATATTGGCAAAAAAATAAATAAAAATAATCACGATGTAATAATTGATATGACTATTAATCCCCTGGAGAATCTGGACCCCAGCATGTTCTAGTCACATGACTGATTTAAATCATTCTTGTGGGAAAGCCAGGCACTTTTTAAGAATTTGTTCCAATCTGTTTCAAAGTACAGACTTCAAGCTTTACATCAGTTTTTAACTTGTGTTTATAGACCAAGTAAAATCAGAGTTATGACAAATGATTTATACTTTCTTTTTTTTTAATATTCGTCATATTTGAAGTACTTTGCAGCGAAAGACGGACGGATTCATGAAAAAAAAMCACCTCAATCCACCCCCTGATTTCACCCTCACCCTGCCAAACTAACATGAAAGCACCAAACTCCTTTCTGACTGACGCCTGAAATTATTTGACAAGTGTCAAAACATCTACAGGAAGAAGAAAAAAGAAGTGAAAGCTGAATTCAGTTTGGTGGCAATAGCAAAATGGAGAGATCAGGACTGAGTAATGAGCTTTAACAGATTTATCATATTTAGTGCGCTTAGATTATATATTTAGGGTGTGTTTTAGTCTGTTTAGTTTAGACTATTTTAGTGCCTTTGTGTCAAAATGATTGTGTGATATTTGAACATGGAGCTACAGCTGATTGAGGTGGAAATGCGATGCAAGCTCAGGACAGATAGACCGCGTGGCATTAATCATATTAATTGCCAAGTGCCAAATAACAACAATCAAATGTTTTCTGATGAATACATGTTGTGATTTCTTCCCAACTCTAGTTGAAATTTGCAGTTTTTGTCTCTTGAAATCAAGTACAAAATCTTGAATTATTGCAGTGTGTGCAGCATTTTTATTTCAAGTGTCTTAAATATAATTCTGCTGCATTAGATGTTTTTCTTTTGTTGTGTTATTCAGGCACATGGAACGGTACTACTAAAGTGGCGATTAAGACACTGAAACCAGGCACCATGTCTCCAGAGGCCTTCCTGGAGGAGGCTCAGATCATGAAGAAACTACGACATGACAAACTGGTTCCTCTGTACGCAGTGGTGTCCGAAGAGCCTATTTACATCGTTACTGAGTTTATGGGCAAAGGTAAGCACRGTTCAAAGTCCCAAACCTGAGGTGACGTGGACGTGTATGCAAAGGCAGACTCCCACACTCACCACATTCATAAATCTTTTATATGTTTGTAAATCAGTCATTTCAGTGACTTTACATTTAGATTTTAACACTTTATCGCCACTCTTCACTCAACTTTTTCTTTGTCTCAAACATATTTTTCTCTTTTTGTATCACTTGTACATCTTTATGCTAACGTCTTCTACATTTCATGCTTCTTAGTCAGGTCTGATTTAAGATTTTACAAGTTAAAGCTTTAAAAAAATGCTTTGAAAATCAATTTGTGCAAAGAAAAATTCTAGTTGCTTCCAAGTAGGTTTGTTATAACGTCATGACGCTTAACTCTCAGGCCAACCCCTGCTCCGTGCTTTTGTGTGGCCTCCACATTCTGCACACTCGGGTGTGTTGATTCGGCCTGACGGGAGTCTTTATTTTTTAACCCTGACAGGTAGTTTGTTGGACTTTCTGAAAGAGGGAGATGGAAAGTATCTGAAGCTGCCGCAGCTGGTGGACATGGCCTCACAGGTAGGAACACAACAGAAACAACAACAAAGGTGCAGCATTTGTCTCGTACCTACCAAGCTGCTGTGTTATCGCCGTCTTTCTGAGCAGCACAACTAAAGTTCTGTTTGAGCATGTTTACTGCCAGGTGTGTCAGATACTGAGGCAATAAGGGTTTCTGTTTGTTCTGCATCAGGTGGCATATTTATTTGATAGCTATCCACACGTATTTCTTCTTCTTTTCCGTCACCTAACTGCCTGTAGCACTTCCACAGGTCTCGCCAGAGGCCCCAAGCTTGCAAGTTTAGTCACCTACTACGATCTGTTCTTAATGCGGCTCTCAACGCTCCTGTCTCCGCTCAGCAGAGTAGAAAAGTCTTTGAGAAATCGCTTTGACACTGACTGAAAGCAGAGACGCCTCAGAGGAAGCCTCTGCCTGTGCAAGATGGTTTTACGGCTGTGTTTGAAAGTTTCGTAATTGCTCAGTGCTGCAGGCTCATGTTGTCCCTTTATACTTTGTGCTGCCTAATCTGAGCTCAGTGAAATGTTACTAAAATAACGACATTGACTATTGACATAATTATCGTACTTTCTGAAATATAAGTCGCTCCGGACTATAAGTTGCATCAGTAAAAAAATGAGACATGAAACGGGGAAAAAAACCTACATAAGTTTCTTTTGACTAAAAGTCATTTCAGAATATTTATTTAATACAATAACTCACAGAACATACCTCCTGAGATGCCGAATAGCCTTATTAACTTAGACAGATGAGAGTCGTTTGCAACGACTATTGTTTTTCCACGACTTCAACTGAACAACCACAGCGAGCTACCAAAAAAAGTTACCAACAATGACAGACTAAAATTAGCTACCATTAGCTTACTGTCCTCAGTCATTCTGCCCTCTTGTTGTTAATGTCATATTGCTAGATGGTCCCAGTACAGTCTTCGGTACTTTTCCTTCAAGTATGGCGTAGTCCGTTATTGTTGTTGCAAATAAAACGAAATGAAGTTTGCATGTTTGAAATATTTTGAACCCCGTCCACATCGAGGCGGCTCTCTGCTTGACACAAACACAGCCCGTGCCGGGCCAGGCCTTACGATGCATTCCATCAAGCAAGTTACCTGGACGTTCACCAGTCTCATTCTACATCATGCGATTAGCTTTCTTCATTTTCTTCAGTGCTGTAAAAAGTATCCTCTGCTTTTTGCCAGTCCCTCACAAGTTACTCATTCACTCCGAACTTTCTTGCTTCTCATTTTCTTTTTGACCGATACAGGAACATCTAGTTGTCACTAACCTAGAGTGTCCTCTAAAGTTTACTCCCAAATTAATGTCTGTCAATATGACTATTATTTAACATATCAGTCAAAATATGTGTCATAAGTTGCTTCAGAGTGTAGGTCAAACTATGAAAAGAGGTGCGACTTATAGTCCAGATAATGACTGTAAATTTGTTTACATTCCAATATCATTTGTATGATTGACCCCCTCCTYCCTCCTTGTGTGCTCCTGTCTCAGATTGCAGATGGCATGGCCTTCATCGAGAGGATGAACTACATCCACAGAGACCTGAGAGCCGCCAACATCCTGGTGGCTGACAACCTGGTTTGTAAAATCGCTGACTTTGGTTTGGCTCGACTCATTGAGGACAACGAGTACACGGCACGGCAAGGTGTGTGTTCGAATCTGAACACAACATGTAGGAAAATCTGCACAAAACAACAACAACAAAAAATCTTTATCATTTACCTCTGGACCATCAGACTGTTAATATAAATGCTCTGAGGCTGAAGGCTGAAAAAACAAGAAAACATAAATAAACAGCTTGAATTTTCTGTAAAACTTACTTTTCTATAAAACTATTTTTTTCTATTTCACTTTTTTACATGTCTATACATTTTACCTTTTATTAATTTTTTTTTTCTTTAACACTTAGGAGCTAAATTCCCCATCAAGTGGACAGCCCCTGAAGCTGCATTATACGGTCGCTTTACTATCAAATCAGACGTCTGGTCATTTGGGATACTACTGACAGAGCTGGTGACCAAGGGCAGAGTACCTTATCCAGGTAATGACACCCTATAAACACACAAGAAAAAAATATCAAAAACTATAATATTTTTTAGTCAAACCATCCTAAATAAATTGGTTAGCCTCACAGTTTTTCTTTATTTGATCAACTGTCAATTAAAGGGTTTTAATATCTCAGCTGTGTGGATCAGTTTAGAAATAGATTTAACTGATGGGAGCATTCCTGGTGTCCTGTGACATGTCCGCTCAGGGGAAAGTCCCGTCATGATCTCCTCATCAAAATCTGCCTCCTCATGTCGCTGAAGCGAAGCCAATTTGCATTTGTGCGTCTTGTGTTCTTCTGTCACAAACTCACGATGCAGCTGATTCAGCCACTGGGTCTGTGCGCAGGGCCATCTGGCTCTGGTGGCCTTCTTGGTTCCGGTGCAGAATTCTTCAATTTGGATAATTTAGTTTTAATTAATTTTCTGGGCAAGGTTCCGTATGTAGAGTTGTTTCTCTTCAGATACGCATGCCTCAGTTGTTGCTGTCCATTTTCCGTGTTTATCAGTGGCAACATGTGGACAGGAGAAACCAGACATCTGCACATGAATGCATTTTGTTGSGTTTGTTATGGTTTATGTGCATAGAGTTCGTTAAACACGGTCAGATTTATAACTRTTTAAGATGCAAGACGTAAATCATTTTAGCACCACAGCATCCGACATACCAGCGTGCCACAGTATCCGAGTCTCAGCAGCTGCTCCAGATCCAGCCTCTCTGTTTGAGTGTGAGATAATCTGATCCCAGCTCTCCCATAGAGACATGAAAGAGGGGGGGTCATGTCTGTAACCATGCCACCGACTTGATGTCATAACCTCTTTTAGCCGCAGTTCAGCTCCCAGATGAGTCGTCTCTGTGCCGTGTCGCAGGGTTCAGCATCAGTGTCTTCCTGTCTTGGAAAGGAAGCCACGACTCGAGGATGAAGCCGCCCTGATTGGTATTCTATCAGAAACCAGAGGATGTTAACCACTCTGCGCTGTTAGAACACCGGCATGTTGTCTTGGACATTTATTATTATATCAGCTCTAAAAACTGACCGTACCTCTCACAGGAAACAAAAAAACAAACTTTGAGTTATGTTTCTGAGGTATTTGAAAAGGCAGGTGACATCAWTATTTTGTAATATGAATGTATTTTTGGAAATATAACATTAATAACATATTGTCAAAAGAAGTTGCTAAATAAAACACTGCTGAGATATGCTCGTGATGCAACAGGAAGTGATGTCAAAGGGGAATGTCTGAATGTGAGCAGATCATTACTAAAGTGGCTAACAAAACGTTCTTGGAGAAGAGGTTTTTTGATATTATTTTTATCAGAGATGAAGAGTCATAGTTCAAAGACTTTTGTTTCAGTAAACAAAGATCAGTTTTTTTAAGAGTTCCCCTTTGATGTCACTTCCTGTTTCACTTTGGCTGAGCGAAGTTCAAAAGATAATATGCCAGTTRTGTGACAAAATGGGTAAAATCAAGTGTTTTATGCCAAGTTTCTTAAAAATATAAAGATGTTTTCTTTGACTTTTTGTATTTAAAGGTTGTGCATCACAGGCACTTAAACAATGGTTCCTGTGGCATTTTAAAGGGACAATTAGGCAAAGTTTTTCATTTTCAAACTTCAACAAGTAGAGCTAGTTCTGAATAAAAACACTAGCGTGTTGCTGCTTTTTTATTTGGATTTTTTTAAAATAAGAATAATAATGCATTTTATTTGTTAGCGATTTTCAAGACACCCAAGGACACTTTACTGCATTAAAAACAAAATTAAACAATATAAGATGTCAATAAAAACACACAAACTATAAATTAAAAGAAGAAATGTTAGAAGATATTCTATTCTTTAACAGTTCATTTATACTTCAGTCTTTAGCATATATTTCAATCATTTGAGTTCTAATGATTTCCTCTGGTGTCACAAGCTTTTTAGCATTTTATGTAGCAACCACAACAGTTATGATTAGTGCTAATCAAAAGTAGAGAAATTACACATCTTGATATATTCCACTGGTTAATGTTGTTTCCAGCCTGTAGTATTTTTTTACTCTGTTGGAACATATACCTGCATTCCAGTTTATCCAAACTTTTGACCTAAAGAAGTGTTTTGATGTTTTTTCTATGGACTACTGGCAACAGATGTTTTGAGATTTGCATGGTTCCTGCAGATTTTTAGTCACTCTGGGATCTGGACTCATAATCTGGAGCTTTTTGTTTTTGTCTCGTTTTTTTTTTTTCTTAAACATGTTTTTACTAAAATGTGGTTTCAGTGGCTGGAAAATGTAATTCTGATTCTTAAACTAAGCACCTAGAATGTCAAATACTTATTGATTTAACCTTACAAATACAAAAGATATATATAGTATTTGTCAGTTTGTTTATATTATGCGTCTGTTTTTTTGAAGGTATGGTGAATCGAGAAGTACTTGAGCAGGTGGAACGAGGTTACCGGATGCCCTGCCCCCAGGGCTGCCCCGAGTCCCTCCACGAGATGATGAAACAGTGCTGGAAGAAGGAGCCAGACGAAAGACCGACCTTTGAATACATCCAGTCCTTCCTAGAAGACTACTTCACAGCCACGGAGCCACAGTACCAACCTGGAGACAATCTCTAGTCTAAAGCAATTTAGGATGAACTCTTGCACACCGAGGTAGAGCTCAAAACACGGGACAGAGTTTTAATTTAAAAAAAAAGGTTATATAAATTAGTTTGCAATGACACTAACAGTACGTGGAGATGTTTGTCCTGTAAGATGGGTGCCTCCATCTAAAGCACCACAACACTGTGATTAAAGAGTGGGATTTCAAAATAAGCAAATGCAGACATGTTTTTATTCCATCCCCTTTTTTTAAGGTTTTAAATAATTTCCCCCCTTTTTTCTCAATTTCCATTTTTTTTAAATTTAAATTCAAACAAATCTTTTAATATGAATTCAGACTATTATATATGTACATGAGTTTGGCGTGAACATGTAGGTTGATGATGTGTTTCAGCGACCAATAACTGTGGTTAAAGCTGTTGAGTATGTGCTGAGACTGTTAGGTGTGTGTAAAGGAATAAAGGTCTGCTGTGTGAATGCAAGAATGTACGGAGAGAACCGAGTAGATGTACATACAGTTTGTATAAAAAATGTATTTTTTAGTGGGTGGATGACCGAGAATAAGACGCGTTTTATATAATTGTTTTTAATGAATGAAAAACATCCGTTTTATTTTGCCTTTTTTTTTTTTCTTTTCATTTAACCTGGGACTTGAAAACAAAAAGCAGCATTTTGATAAATTACCACATTTTTCTAATTTTTTTTATTGAATGTCTAAAAATGGACGTTTTAGCTGTGCAATTAAAAAAAAGTCTGTCAAAAAAAATCTTGATGCACAACTGTGATTTTTATGAACTAGTAAAAAAAATAAAAATAAATCTTGTACGCAGWAGGTTTAAAACAACTTTTTCTCCCSATTAGCAAAATATCAACTTTCATCAACTAAACAAACCTGTGATGTCTCCTGTTCTGCTGGTGGTTGAGGAAAGGTTTAATGTTAAAACTAGAACTTTACAAAACAACTGTTTAATTCTTTTTTTTTCCTTTTTATGACCTGCACCAACAACAATACTCTGATACTTGTGATTTTCTTAATATTATAGGTGTTTGATTACTTCCTGAAAGTTTGAACTAAAACCAGAGAGACAAAACATTGGTTGAGGCACAGCTTTAGTTTTATCTTTACAAAACTGCAAATCTAAAAATTCTAAGAGGTACCTTTTTAAATACTTGCATATTTTTATGTCAAAGTCAGAGAAATGAGGCATATGAAAGCTGTAAAGATGTGAACTTTTTTTCTTTTATTTCTGTGCATTATGATCAGTTATTGAAGACTGGAACTTGAGCAATGGGAGACATAAATAATTAAAGTAATGAGAGCTAATATGATTTTTGTACAAAACAAAATAAAAGCATAAAACAAATGTTTCCTGCAGTTTGTGTTTTAATTACCATATATCCTGGGTTTTACAATGTATACAATTTAACAGGAAAGAAGTACATTTACCGTACTTTTCTGTACATTCAGTAATAGTTGTTACAGATGTTGACTAGTTGTATTTTAGCAAAATGATGCCTAATAAACAGACAGTAGTTTTATTTATAAAGTGCTGTAAGTAGAGAAGATGAAGATAATATTTTATTCGTCCTCAATCCTGTAGAGAAGAAGGAAAAAAACATTTTAGAAGAAATTTTTTCTATAGCCTGGGTTCCAATGATGACATGTTTTTTTTTTTTTTAATATTTATTTATTTTCGTCTGTAAACCTCACCTGACCATGTCCTTATACTTCTCCAGAGCTTCCTGGATAACGTACTGGATGAAGGCTGGGTCCTGCAGCTCCATCTCCCCAGGAATGGTGAGGATGAGAGGGGGAGAGTTTAAAACCTTTACCTCCACCTTGGTCTCAGCAGATGATAGGTTCTGTTCATCGTGACTCTCTGGCGCCACCTGGTGGGGAAAGTGAAGGGACAAAATATTTCCCTGCACTAAGTAAAGTAAATTTTCACAGCTTTTAATTTCCCTTCATTGTAAGTCATTTGACTTAATAAACTGTACAGTGTCTATTGTGTAAACCCTGATTTAGCATTTCTGTTTCCTTTTATTTTTAGCATGTTTTTGGAAATGGGTATGAATTTTTTGTGACTATTATAAGTTTCAAAATATTCAACTTTTTTATTTTTTATTTTTTTACAATTATCTTCCTCACCTGCATTAGGATTGCTTCATTTTTTTGTTTTTTATTTATTTATTTTATCTGCTTTCAATGCTTTTTGGCCTTCTGTGACTTTTTAACTTCTAGCTTTTTGCTACCTTTAGCTGTATGTTTGATACTTTAATCTTCTATTTGTGGTTTATTACTTTTAGTTAGGATCCTGCTTCTTTTAGTTTTAACAACTTAGTTTCATCTGGTTTAACAAACTGCCACAAAGTCATTCAACATTTACGTTTTTTAAGGGAAATATTTGACTCATTTTCCCATTATCTCTTCTGATCCTCCAGCTTGCTCCTGCTCACCGTTGTGATGCGGAAGATATTTTGTGGAGCACTGTCGTTGCTCACAGCCTGAGCCACCCAGCTGAACTCAGCTGCCATGGTGCTCAGCCACTGGACCGTTTCGTCGGCGTGGCGTTGGACAATGGACAGGACCTCGTCGTACTGCTCCTTGGACACGTCCAGCAGCTGGGAAATTTCATCCAGCTCTACGTGCAGCTCCCGAACGCTGGGGCATTCTGGGGAAGGAGAGGGCGAGCTACAGACCTGTGAGATATTAGCAGACACAAAGTGGAGACGGTGATGCTTCACCTGTGAGCAGAGCSCCCTGGCAGGCCTCACACTTATTCTGCAGCTGCCAGCACTCGGACGTCTGTCTGCGGAGATCTCTGCACAACTTCCTGTTCAGCAGGAAGCGAGGTAAGTTCTCCCTTTCTGCACCAAAAGAGAAATTAACAATTAGATTTGTGAGGTGTGATTTCCAATGTGATTCCAACAAGGTGCAAGGGCCTGCGCTACCTTTCTTTTTGTCCGTTTCCACTGTCTGATGGAGGTCATCAAACACCTGGGTCACCACAGCTCCAAACTCCTCCACCACACTTTTGCCAAAGTCAAAGAAGGACTCCAGCACCTCCTCCAGGCCCACTCCCTGCAGGAAGCCTGAGTCCCGGCTGGGGTCGAAGGGATCAGTAGTGACCTCCTCTGTCAGGAGTTCGGGGGCGTTCAGGAAAGCTCTMTGGAGAACTTTGTCGAGCTTGCTGCTCATCCTGGAAGCCAGGGCGACGCTGCGGTTCACCAGAGAGCCCACCCTGCTCATCACTCGGTTAAAAGAATCCTCAATTCGAACCACGTCCGTCTCCGGCTCATTTGGCTCTTGGTTTACCAGGATGTCCCCTGCTTTCATGGGGGGCTCTCGRGGTCCAAAGCGCCTGGAGACTCTTTGGAAAAAGTTTTCCACCTGTAATGCAAATACAGCAGGTTTTGAAAGCTGTCTTTGTGTTTGGAAGCGTGGGGAGCTGCAGGTGACAGATCATCACATTACCATCATCTCTCCTTTCAACTACGTGGGAAGTTTTTTTTAATACCTTAGCTTGGAAAGAAGCAAAGCCCCTTCGGCAGGTGGAGGTGTAGAAGGTTTTACATGCATCCTCCAGACAGGGTCTGCATTCCTCCCACTCTGACTGCAGGGAGTCTTTGCACTGCTCCTCTGCCTCCTCGAGMTTTTCGCTCACCTCCTTCGCCAGCTGAGCTGCCCCCTGGCGGGAYAAAAGGAGCTCTTCATCATTAGATTTAAACTTTTTTTCCCCACATTCACAGGTGAGTTAGCRTTGGTCTTACCCTCCTCTTGTCACCGCTGCGTTTCAAAGAATCCATGAGGTGCTTGTGCTTCTGCCCGTTCCTCCACATCACCTCCTTCATCTGCTTCACCCCATACAGAGCTCTCCTCAGCTCCTCGTTCACCAGTTTCTCGCCATCTTCTGACAGCTCTGAGAGCACAGACGGAAACACCCCGCCTCATTGTCTTATAGTTGGACCGCAAACAAAGAACTGAAATATGTTTCAACGTAAAGCCGTGCCGTGTGGGATTTCGCTCAACTCACGTGTCAGGATGTCCTCTGAGGCACCTTTCATCTGGTCCTCAGGAGCAGAGCTGAGGCCACCTGCTGTCGCCACGACAAGCACCAAACTGAGCAGGAGCTTCATTCTCAGACTCAGTGTTTGATGAGAGAAGAATCACTCTGAAACAACACAGTATTGTGATTGACTCAAACACAAATTCATACAGCAAATCCTGGTTACTGACGTAAACAAATTCAAATTAAAGTCAGAACATCTCTTAAAAAATGCTCAGTATCCTACCCTGAYACGTCAGAGATTTAAACTGATCACTTTATGCTGAGATCGGACAGCGTTACATCAGCAGCTGATGAATATAGAACTAAAYACTGTTCGATCTGATCCAAACAGGTAAAACGATTTGCGTAAGAGTCACCATCAAAAACAGTTGTCGTATGGAGTTCTTCCACTTGGTGGTGCTGCCTATCTATTTACAACACTGCACTCCTTTCTTTTACTTGAAATGAAGTTGGTTTGAATGAAAATTTCATAAACAAGCACTTTTTATGCTGTTTGAGTTTCTGTCACAGTAATAAAAACAGAATGAGCGACCTGTTTATTTTCGCTCATTAAGAAGCTTCAATCCTAAATAGTTTACCTCGTGACTTTTGTCTCTTTTCTCCGTGTCTGACCGTTTATTCATTCAGCTGATTTTATTTTTTTGTGAGTCTCACCACAAAGAGACCAGCAGCAGCTATGAGAGCTCTGAATAAATGACATCATGGGGTTCATCTCTGCTGGGAGGACTTGTTTATGTCTGGGCCATCTGCTGTGCCAGCAGGCTGAGTCCCGTCACAAATGAACAACAACAACAACAACAACAACAAAGAAGAAGAAGAAGAAACAATGAAGGATTCTAATATACTTGTCAGTTTACTCCAGCAGCTGAACCTGCCTGAGAACTTATATAAGTTGGCATCCAGTACAGATTTACTGTACATGAGGATGTACCCACTTATCTGATGGGTTTAAGTAGRTTGTAAATCTGTTTGTTTTTTAATCTGGCTGGCATTATACTTGTTTTTGTTTATATTAACATTTATACACTCATGTAAACTGGCTACAGTGATAGACAAGTGTATGATTTAAATATAAGTATCAAAAATGATTAAACTGACAATGTGGAACTACAAAATAAAGCAAAAACGACACTTTGAAGGAGCAAATTAGGGCTTAAAAGTCGAGACTGAAGCAGAATATTAAATTCAGATGATTTAAATGACAGACTGTCACTAATATAAAAGAGAGGGGGGAAAACAACAGAACCTTTGAAACTCACCAGCAGAGGGATGAAGAAACCTCCTTGTCTTCAGACATAAACAAAGTTCTCTGTTCGAACAGAGCTCTTCAGGTTATCTTGACCTGCTTGGGTTCTATTTGCGCTCGTCCAACGTGAACTTYATCCTATTACTGTCTTTGCTTAAGGTTGATGCCCCTTAATCCAACCCTGGGCAAGCTTACAGGTCTGCTTTGTTGAAGAGCTGGCCTGGTCATGTTATAGAAAAACACTGACATTTGAAAAAGATTTAAAGCTTTACATAAAAAACAATCTGCTGAGAGAAAGTGTGAGTGCTGACTGATGGCTGAAATGTGCTGACTTAGCTATTAAAGTTAACAGAAGCCAAACACTACCTTGAAGGTAAAATRAGCAAAACATTAGATTAAAGCTAATAGAAACTACAGTGGGGTGCAGACGTTTAGGCAGCCTTGTKAATTTTCATGATTTACCTTTATAAATCATTGATTGTTTGGATAAAAAAATCAGTAAAATCATAGAGGACAAACACAGTGATATTTGAGAAGTGAAATTAAGTTTAAATGATTTACAGAAAGTGTGCAATAATTGGTTAAACAAAATTAGGCAGGTGCATAAACTTGGGCACTGTTGTCATTTTATTGATTTCAAAACCTTTAGAACTAATTATTGGAACTCAAATTTGGTTTGATTAGTTCAGTGACCCGTGAAGAGTCTCAAAACAACTTTTAAATGAGCTGAAAACAAAGATTGTTCACCGTCATGGTTTAGGGGGAAGATACAAAAATTAAGAGTTGTGGAGAAAAATATATATATTTTGAAAAGTATAAAAATCAGTAATTTTATTATATGAATGTTGAAGATGTCACAAACTACACAGAATATGCAAAGCATGCAGAATAAATAAAAATCAGGAAAAAATATAGTGTGGATGCTGAGTCAGCGTTTTGTTTTTGCAGCAAGTCTTTTCGTAACAGATTGTTTATTTTCTTCTTTACATCTGATGGTTCGTCTCCATTTTTCCACTATAGATAACGGTATAAAGTTAGACTTTTAACGTTTCTCCTCGTCCCTTCAAAAAATGTGCCCTCTTTGCTTCGTGTGACCCAGAAAATAGAGTCTTTACTGGAAGATAATTAAAGACAGACGGCACTTCAGCCTCTCTGACACCTCCAGCACCTGGTTCATATAACGCTGCAGGCAGTATGTGTTCTGCTGGACCTAAACATGAAACAGCTGACAGTAAAATAACTCCTTTGTTGAGGAAGAATGTGGACCTATAGGCATGCAGTCAGGAAAGAAATGGAAATGATGTTGAACTTTATTATTTTTGTCTTTTTTGTTTGTTTTTAATTTAATGTGCTCATCTTTGAAAACCCCCTTTAGATAAAACTTTTCAGACTGACAAGCAAAGTTTGGAATCCTGACAGATGAAAACAGACTAARTGATGCACCTTGTCTGAGGGAACAGAGCTGAGCAGGACATTTTTCAACATGGTCAGAAGCACCAAGAGTGTTTTCTATGTCACACTCCCGGAAAGATCAAAGGACATCTTTTGGAAGGTTTTTTTTCCTCTCAATATCTGTTAAATTGACAGAGTTATAATAGTGTTTGTTGTAGTTTTTGAGTCAATTGGCTGTGGCAGCCATCTTTAATCCAACTGAATGGTTATCAGTTGTCAGTCATTGAAAGGTTAAAAAAAATCATCCAGTGGTTCAAGAGATATTTTGATAATAGGCACAAACACASAGACACAGGCAAAACCATAAACCATAAAATATAAATGTTATCATGCATTAAGTCAGCTATTTTAATTGTAAAGCACTTTTAAAAAAACACAAAGTGATGTGCATGCAAAAACCAAAGAACATTTCAAAACAAAACAAAGAGCAAAAACAACCATTTAAAACAATGAAATAAGAGTAAAATAAACTAAAGCAGTAATTGGCGAACACGCAGCTACCGCCCCCAAGTGGACAAAACAAACAAACATCACTTTTTACAGGTGAGCTGTCTCCAGCTCTTCACGCAAATTATTGTTGCAGCTTTTTTATGATGAGATGTTCTTATTTCAGAATTTTACTGGACGTATATAGAGAGGGGAAAGTAACACTTGCGATGTGTTGCAAACACTTTTATTTTTCTCACAAGCTCTCAACAAAGCCAGATGTTGTCAGTTCGGTTTTAACTGATTTCAAAGTAACTTATTGCGCTCAGCAGTAAAATTACAGCGAGTTAGAGAACATCTGGGCGCAGACACAGATGTGAGGGGRAAAACACGTGGTTTTTCTTCCAGCAGCCATGCACGCGCACCACTTCCTTTCACGTTTGGATTCCTGCATTTTTTTTTTTCCAGCTTCTCCTCTGTTGTTGCTACTGCGGCGGGTACCACTGCAGATCTGAGCTGGGCAGGGATTCACTCTCCTCAAAGCATCTTCTCCAAACAAACAAACAAACAAGAAGAAAACCCTAAAGTTTGCATCTTCATCAAACTTCATCCTGCACAAAACTTACCTGCGCTGAAAGACCTGGGGAAGCTTGGAACAACTTGATGGACATTTGATTTTTTTTTCTTCATTTTTTTTTTAAATTTTTGTAATATTTTGTGTTTCAACTGAAGACTCCCCCCCCAACCAGCAGAGGATAGGGGTCATATTTAAGGTGGTCTAAGGGGGGCTTTAATGCCAAGGCGATGCWGTGGATGTGATTCAAACAACAGATCCAGACTCCTGTGAACCACAATGAAAGGTAAACTTCTCCAGTCACGAAACTAATGTTTGAGGCTTATCTCACGYGTCACCAGTGACAGCCTGGTGATTGTTTATTTATTCGTTTTTATTTATTTATCCAGATTTCCCTGGCTCTTTCTTTTGTCACTTTCCTGCGCTCTTTCTTTCTCCCGGTGTGGGACGTGAGGAATGCGTGGGCTTCAGCTCCACATCTGCTTTCAATTAACGCGCTCCGTTTGGGATTGTTTTGCATCTGCCCTCTGATGAGCATCCGACAGTAACTTAAAGGAGAAAAAAAAACCCAAAAAGCAATAACTCCAAACAGAAAGGGAAAAAAATACTAACTTTAGGTCCTGCTTTTATCTCAGTTTTAATCTGCCTTTTATAGTTTTACTGTGTGTCCGGGTTCACATCTGAGTCACATGTTATAAATAAAAAACAAAACTTTATTGTGGTTTAACCTATTTAACTGCCTGCTGCTGTATTACACACTGAAAAAAAAACAGTCAAGTGTGAATCATGGTGGTCGGTGGCTCATGAACAGAAACAAAGGGTTTATAAATAAATAAATAAATAAATAAATAAATAAATAAATAAATAAATAAATAAATAGCTCTGATTTTAGACTTATGCAGTGTCCTGGTGTTTGCAGGTTTGCTAAAATAGAATTTCCAGTTTCAAGTTGGAAAAATGCAGTAAACTCAGCAGATACACTGCCCCCTAGTGGTGGAAACATAATGAGCAAATCCAATCCTCGTTCTTCAGGGCCACTATCCTGCATTTTTTTTTAAGTTTCTTTGCTCCAGCACATCTGATTTGAATAATTTGGGTGATATTAAAAGACTTCTGCACAAGAGTTTAATCACTAAATCAGATGTGCTAGAGCAGGTAAACAAGTAGTCCTCAAGGACCAGGATTGGACATCCCTGCTTTACTCAAACAAGGGAATAAATCCTGGATGTTCTTGGCCTGCAGGGTAAATCCCAGAGCTTGCATTGTCCCATCGAGAAGCAAAGATTTCACATGAAAAGAACAAAAATATTTCAGTCAAATCAAATACAGTCTTCATTGTTATTTTTGAACCATTTTGTTGCAAGGTCAAGTGTCTTTCTGCTTTTGTTTTAGTAAGTTTAGTTCACTCATTTAATTTATTTCTGCTTTATTTATCCAGACGAATTCACTGATGAGGAGGAGGTGCAGTCCTTTGGCTATAAACGGTTTGGTAAGTAAATGGCCCATTCAAGTTTCCGTTGCAGCCTTTTTAAGGAATTCTGTTATTTTATTCTACTTTACTGTAAAAGAGTTGAAATATTTGGTTTGGATTGGATCTCTCCAACAATCAACCCTTAGGGTTAAAGGTAGACTATTCCCAGAAACAGTTTTGGCAGCAGTTTTCATTGTTTTTCTTTCTTACAACAGCAGTTTAAAGCACAGGACTGTGGGTGTTCCTGATCGGTTCCTTGCAAGGTTATCAGCATATCTTACTGCTGTTGTTCCACTCTGCACAAAACTGGGGGGGGGGGGGGGGGGGGGTGGGGTACTTTACTTGGTCTGAAACCAAGTAACAGTTTTGCAAATTATTCTGATTATTTCATATCTGCTTATGTGTTTGGGWTTTCACACGACGTGGGGTTTGATCTGATTTAATTCTGATATAAGCCTCCAATTTGGTGCTGTATGCGACAATTTTAAGATTTAATATTAAACTAATGTCACTGATCATTGGGATAATATTGTGTGCTTGCAAAATCAATCTTAGTCCATAACAGATTTTTATTTTGGCTTAACACTCAAAGACACATCTGTAGTAATATGTTTGTTTTTTATTGGGTGATTGAAATATACATAAATAAAGATTAAAAAGCTGTTAGAGTTTTAGCATTAGAATATTTCACTTACATCTCAACCTTCTGAATGAACATTATTAGGAAACATATTTTAGTAGTGACGGCTGTATTTGGTTGGAGCTCTGATTTCTTTGAGAATTTTATACGTCTTTCTTTCACGAAGCAGTTCTTACAAGTTTTCTTCTTAATCTACATCTCACAGATTAATGGGCAACACTTTTCTGTTTCACCACATCCAAAAGGATTTAGATCTAATGACTGTGGAGACCACTAAAATACAGCCCAAACTGTTGATAGCAGGGATTGATCCAAGCTTTCACCAAAATCTGTCCATTTTCAACTTGTTGCAATAAAAATACAAATACAATCTTCTATTGTCATAAAAAAGCTCACATAAAAACACACCATTTCTGCAACTCCTTTTCCTGCTGTTTTTAGCCTCGTTTTGATTGCAAAGTTATGAGGAGTTGTATTGTTAGTGTGATTTATTGATGACTCCTGTCCCACCACAGAGATCAAGTTGCTCCACTTGAGGTCATGTGGTTTTAGGGGTGTTTAAGCGTTTGTGTGTGCGTGTGTCATCMCAGCGTTCAGCAGCCATATATCAAAATGTGTGACTTCAGCAGGAGTCCACATTTTGTGTGTCATTACAGTTTACACTCACTTCTCACTGCCCTGACGTGACTGTATGTGTGTGTATTGATGTAGCTGTTTTTTTTTTACAAGAGGACAGTTTGGATTTTCTTGCTCCCAAACCAAACATTTTTCTTGTTTATGTCATTCGGCTAAGATTTATGTCACCCATTATTTATTTAGAGYGTCTGAAATTTGTACTCAACGGCTTGACTTCTGGTTACCACACAGCTGTGAAGAAACAGCGAAACACTTAAAAAAACAMGTCACAAAATATTCTGTTTGGTATCGGTTAACTGAAATGTTGAATGTGGATGTTAATTTTCGCAATGTTTTTCTAGAAAGGTGAACCCTGGAAGAAGCTCCACAAGCAGGGCCGGCCCGAGACAATTTGGAGCCCTTGGCAAGATTTTGGGTGGCTCCCCTTGTGCAGTTTTCTAAATCTCACTGCAAATTTACGTACATTCATGTGCACAATTAAATACTTATGCATTTGATAATGTTTTGTTTCATCTTTAGAAAACAAGTTGTCCAGTTAAAATAGTTAATGTAATTATTTTAAATAGGACATGTCTACCTATTGCCTGCTAATGTTTTCTGACAACAGTAAGGAACACAGAGCATTTTACTAAATTTTTGTGATTAATAAAACTACATAAAATCTGTATATTATGAAAGTAAAACAGTGAAAACCAAACTTTAACCTAACCTTTGGCTGAGATCATAACTGAAACTTCCATTATCCTTATTTTATTTTCTGAGCAACAAGAGTTAATTTTGACTTCATCATCAGTAAGACTTTTATTTTGAAATATCCTTTGCACCATATAAACACCTCATGTMGTAACAAAGCAGCTAAGAAACTCACAAAACTAATTACCTTCAGAAACCTGAGTAACCAGTGATTATTCCACAGACTAAATCAATTATACCCTGATAAAGTAAWTACTATTTATTTATTTATTTTTATTTATTTGTAGCACCCCCAAGATAGACGGTGCCCTTAGCATTTGCCTATACTGCCTATGCCACAGGTTGGCCCTGTCCACAACAAGTGAAAGGGGCAGCTGAAGAGGATTATGTTTCTCTAGGTGAATGTAAAATATGTCCTGTTTGGAGTAACATTAACTTATTCACAAATACAATAACAGTTGTGAAGAGAATTACGGTAAACCGTGTCYGAAATTATTTTCCAAAACACTAGTAGTCACATAATCAAGTGCATGTTCCAAAAAGAACAAACTCTTCTGAATCTGTCTTCCACACATACTTGTGTTGTCTTCAACAGAGGAACGAAGTTCATGATTCATTTCGGCATCTGCTTCCCATAAGGCCTTTATTTACCCTCCGCAAATTCAAACCTGAGAAGTTGCTGATCTGCTTCCTGTGCCCGTACTTAAAGTTTATTCAATGCATAACTGTGAACTCAGAAAGAGGGAGAGGTGAGGTAGGTGCTACTCATGGTCCAGGTTCATACTGTGCTGCGTCAGCAAAGGGCCAAAGCAAGTGAGGGAAAGAGGAAGGTGGAGTGGAAATGTCTTCAAGTTTCCCATAATTACATATTTTTTTAAATCACTACCACTCTTTTATCGTAACGTGTCTCAGTGCTCTGTACCTTTTTGCTTTTAGTGTTTCTCTTTCATTTGTGATTCAGCAGGGAGACATTTGTCAACACTTATTTTGGGCCGAGGAGTCACATTCCTAGCTTGACTTATTTTTGGGAGTAAAACAGCAAGTGGTTTTAATTTACGGGGACTTTATTATGAGAAAAGAATGTTTTCAGAATGCCTGCCTGGTACTTATGACCCCCTCCAGGGCACGCATGCAGTTTGTGCTCTGTTACCCTAATGAAAGATTACTCTATGTTGTTTTCAATAAAGAGCACCGGGAGTTAGCCGAGGAGATAGAAGGAAGACATTAAAGGATTGCAAAGTAGCAGGAGGAAAAATAAAGAACTGCAGGGAATGAAAAATGACCAATGAAACAGGCCTGAATGAATCCTAGATTGGACAGAATTTGTTTTGAAAGGATTTCTGGATAAAGTCAGGTCAGCTGCAGGTCAGCTCTGCAGACCCCAACACTCAGGAGTCAATGAGATATAATTCAGCCATGCAGACATGTCTGGCAGGCACATTTTGCCAGTCAGGACATATTATTTATACAATAATATAGTAGCTCAGATAAAACCAGAATTTGGACAATTATGCCTGTTTGAAGATTCGAGAGTATAGGGCTTTCTATATTTGAAAATTCTGTTTATATTGKTTTGTATGAGWGGCCCTTTAGGCCATAATTCAAACTTGCTCTCACAGATACTATCAAACCCTCTCACACATACTTTCAAACTCTTTCACATTTACTATGAAACACTCTCACATGTACTATCAAAGTCTAAGTCTCTCACAATCACTACCAAACTCTTTCACATTTACTATCAAACTCTCTCACATTTACTATCAAACTGTAATTGGGGCATTAGGACAGAGTGAAAGATTATAAACTCCTGGTGAACAGCAGAGGTTTTTACAACACTGCAGGTCCAGCGGTGACATCAATATATGGGGGAGGGGGGGGGGTATTTTTTACTAATTTTTTTGACCAAATACTTATTTTCTATCACAATTTGCAAATAAATCATTTTAAAAAATCAGTCAATGTGATTTTCTAGATATGTTTTCTCATTTTGTCTATCATAGTTGAGGTTTAACTGTAATGTCAATTCCAGGCCTCTCTTGAACCATTTTTCTTCCCCCACTGCATCTGACTTCCATACCTAAACCCAGATTTGCTTTCTCCAACCGCCCCTTGCTTGTCGTATGTGTAAATGATGTTACACTCTGTTCACACTGACTTCATTGTATCAGAGTTGGCTGAAAGCCAAAAATAACTACATRTTACCTGGAAAATGTGACTGTATGTTGCTGTCTGACGTCCCACCAAAACACGGTTCTATTTCAAGCTTGGAGGAGTAAAATGTGTCGCAACTGCTGTGACTTCCATTTTAACTCCAGTAGTCACATTTAAAACAGACATTGAAGGAGGGGTGACGTTGGAAAGGATCTCAGACATAAAATATGACTAGTTTGGAAATTCACAGCAGCTTCTGTCTGTGAGTTATATACTGTATATATAAATATATATATCAAACGTCTTCACACCACTCCCGTGGGACACACTGGCCAATTTTAATGACACGCCTGTAACCAGCTTTCATCTAGGCTCCCTTCTCTCACATAATGGATGCTTTTCAAAAGCTACACTCACTGCCCATTTTGGCTCTGTTACAAACAACAGCACGCACAATATTTGAAGTGTCTAACTCAATTCTCGGTGAACACTCTCAGACAGGCGGAGAAATTTTGAACGTATCTCAGACGCAGTGTTTAATTTAATGGAAGCTATTTAGCTCCCCAGAGGAGCCAACATCAACCTTGCTCCTTCCTTTTTTTTCTCATTATTTTTCTGTTAGTCATGGTACTGCTCACTTTCCATCCCTCTGACCTGACTCTAGTGCTTTTGTTGCTCAGGCCGTGTTTACATTGGCCTCCAACCAACACACGGTGCAGTTCTGTTCTTGTTTATGCATTTATAATCTTTTTTTTAGATGCAGCAAAATGTCTGCCATATAGAGTTATTACATTTACTCTGTTCTGAAGTGTTTTAAAAGATCAAGTCAGACGTGTGTTTGTGTATCTACATCTGTGTAACCGCTGCAGAGGGAAACATTAGAGCTGCTGAGTCT